ACAGCCTGGACCTGCTGCAGAGCCCTTTTCTGCTCTGGCCCTCACACAAAGCTGGTAGCTTTACATGTTGTCTGGAATATGGGTCAGAGCAGCATTTGTGCGTGGGGGATATGCTGCCTCCAGAACGGGAAGAGGCCTGCTAGGTATTGTGCTTTCCTCTTCATGGTGGAAGGTGCATGATTCAATGCTTTGCCCTATTCTTTGGAGGGGCCGTCCTGATTTACTGACCTGGACCACTGGATTCCTAAAAATTTTACTAATGCAGCAGTCCCCTGAGTCTTTGTGGGGTTTATCCCCCACCCCCGGAGTGAATGTGTCTTACCAGGGCAATATGCTAACCCTCTCTTGTTCATCTCACACAATCAGTATGATGCAATCGATGTGGTGGTCCAGTGTGCTATTCCATGGGATGTCCAGATAGTCCAGGTTTCTTTGAACTATATTATGACACCAGGTGAGAGAGATAGCATAGCCCTATGAAAGACCATTTACGAATATTATCATCAGACTCGTGAGTGTGAACTGTTTCTGATCCTTTTTCCTAATCAGAATAGAAAAGAATTCATTTGCCAAGTCAGTGGCCACCTGCTGTACCTGAGGTCTTATTAATCTGCTCTGACAATGACAGCATGTCCAGTATGGCAGGTACAAGCAAGGGTACTACTTGATTGTGCTTGCGGTAGTCTGCAAGCATTCTCCAGGACCCATCTGACCTCTCCAGGGACCAGACCACTCAATTCGATGGAAATAAGATGAGACCAACACCCCTGCATCCTTTAGATCTTTCAATGTGGCATTGATTTCCATAATCACCCATAGGATGCATACAATATTGTTTGTGGTTTACTGTTTTGTTCAGGGCATGGGGGTGTGCACCATTTTAGAAGCTTCTATCTGGACTTCCCTACTGAAATAGCTCTTACACCACAGGCTGAGGAGCCCATGTAGGGGTTCTGACAACTACAAAGTATGCCATTGCAATTACACATTTGTGAACTGAGGAAGTGACCACTGGATGGGTCTCTGGACCCCCCAGACCCACTGTAAGCAGGACCTGGGCCAGGACTCATTTATCACCTTACCACTACTGTGCTTCTCAGCGTGACTGGTACCACCCTCACCAGCATATTTCTTATTGATTTCATAAGTTGAGTGTATCCTCCAGGCCTTAATCAGCTGGTGGGTTTTCCAGACTTCAGTAGTATATCTACTCCAACATGTCTGCTTCTTTGAGCCCTTTAATCCTTCCCTGTGCAATCTACCATGGAAGTTTTGCTTCACTTAGTGTGGGCCATTGTTTACTCCAGGTTTCCAAATACCAGTGTGTTAGTAACACTTCCTAGAGTCCTCGCCAGGGTTTTAAGTTCCATATCCTGGGAGAGCGCGCCAACTTCCTGTTCTACCTCCTTCGCCCATTGTCCTCAGGATCTAGTCTCATTCATACCTTCTCAGCCCCTGCCAATACATACTAGCCAGATTCTTTAGGTTCTTCTACAGATCATTTATCTCCTTCCTTTGCAAGCCTAGAACCTGTCCAGTCAGGTTTCACTAGGATTTCACCCTAATTTTTGGTGTGGTTAACAGGAGGAGAGGTGGGAGGTAAACTCTGAGGGGGCAGGCATTATCTTACAAAGCGCCTGCGTCATCTGAGGCCTCTGCATTATCTTTAAGCAGAAGGTCTATATTCTAACTCAGGGGAGTAGTCTACTTCGGCAGGCCCAGTGGATGCAGGTGAGTCTGTAAGTTCAAGGTGTTTAACTGCATCTGCCCAAATATCGCCATCTCAGAGTCCTACTCCTGTCCTATTAGGGACATGAGCATGGCCTAGGAGATGTGCTGGGCCTGAGAAGTCAACTTTCTCTGAAGCTCCGCCACCATGTAGAATTGAATTCTGAGCCTGGCCCTCCCTTCTGTCTGCCCTCTGACTGCAGGAGATGAGGGTTTCCTTAAATGGAGTCACGGAGGTCCTCTGGCTTTCACATTTTGCCTTGAATTCACCCTGAGCACGTCAGGTCTTTCTTCAGCTACTCAATGGCATTTAGGGAATAGTCACCAAAGTCTGGTTACCATTTCCCTGACATCACTCATGTTCCAGGAGTATTTCACCAGCCAGTACATTCCCTTCCACCAGAATCCCATTACAGCCCACCATCAGGAAAAGTCACTGCTGCTCCAAAACCCTGGGGGCCTGCACTGTATTCTCCCACCTGGGAGAAGAAATTCCACACAGCGTCTTTTCCTACTACTGACACCTCCAGTGTCATAGGATCTGCCAGATCATATGGCCTAAGTCACATCCTGCTTACACCACAGCCCGGACCTGCTGCAGAGCACTTTGCATTGCTACAGCATATCGGAGGCTATCTATGCCCCACCTCCCACTACTGACAGATCCTCACTGCCATCTGGCTGCTGGGTAACCCAGTGCCAGAACTGCATTAGACCACCCTTGTAGTTTGACTTCCATGGCCCACTGTCTTAGATTGGGTTCCCTGGAAAAAGACTTTGAGGTGGAGATTTGCATGCAGGAGGCTTACTGGAGTGTGCCATTGGGATCAACGCTTGTGAGGAGGGTTGGGTTGAGCAGAGGGAGAGGCTGGCTCAAGATGTAGTTGCCTCAGGGGACTCCACTGATCTTGGGGGGAGCCCTTGGGGCTGGGAGGGTCCTTCAGAGTCAGCCCAGGTTGAGGCAAGGAGGCTGGCCTTTCTTTCCCCTCATAGACCAGACCATGGGGATGCCCTCATGAAGTAGGTATAACCTTGGCCAAGGCAGTTCACTGTGACAAGACAATTCCCAGTGGGGACACAGCCATGAGCTGTCAGCAGCTGCCATTCAAGGTGCATTGTCCCTGAAGAAGAGGCCTGAGCAGACCACCACAGTATCCAACTACACTTATGGTCGGAAAAGTTTTAGAAACAGTGATACACCCTCATCATTCCCACTCATCAGTTTATAGATGAAAAATGTGCAGGGCTGAGAGAGATTCTCTCCTAACACTTCTGAGGGGATAGTGTCAGCGATGGTGTGTGTGTGTGTGTGTGTGTCAGAGAGAGAGCGAGGAAAAAGAAGTAGCTGTACCTGGGGTCTCTTGCATATGTCACTCAAGTCACCAGGGTCCATTTGTGCTGTGTGTGTGTGTGTGTGTGTGTGTGTGTATGTGTGTCCAAGACCCTGATTGTACACGTGTCAGTGACCAATAGCCCTGAAAGTCTCTCCCCCTCATCCCCCTTCCATGAGAAACCTGATTGGGGATGAGCTTCCATCCCTGGAGCAGGCTGTTGGCTAGAAATCCTGAGCCTGAGGGAGGAGGCCACCGGAAACCAAGCCCAGCTGGGGACAGGCCCGGGGAAAATGACATAGCAGTTCGTGATGTTCCTACTGCTGCTCCCACTCCCCCTCCCTCCTGTTGCTCCCTCTCCTCCTCAGCTGCATTCCTCCCTGCCCCCCATCATTGCTAGCGACACTGGCTTCTCCTAGAGCCACCCAGCCCGCACCACTCAATCCACTCCTCGTTGTCGGATGCAGCTGCCCACCCATGGCCATTGTGTTTCTCACAGCACACAACCACACATGGTGATTGTGCTCCTCCTTGTGAAAGGGCCAGAGAGTGGAGAGATGCTTCAGGCCACACAGCCAGACACCAGCACTGAGATATACACAGGGACTAAAAAATACACAAAAACAGGCAAGCTTCAGAGAAATGTAGTTCCTTCCTTTCTTTCTTTCTTTCTTTCTTTCTTTCTTTCTTTCTTTCTTTCTTTCTTTCTTTCTTTCTTTTTCTTTCTTTCTTTCTTTCTTTCTTTCTTTTTCTTTCTTTCTTTCTTTCTTTCTTTTTCTTTCTTTCTTTCTTTCCTTCTTTCTTTCCTTCCTTCCTTCTTTCCTTCTTTCCTTCCTTCCTCCCTCCCTCTCTCTCTCTTTCTCTCTCTTTCTCTCTTTCTCTCTTTCTCTCTTTCTTTCTTTCTTTCTTTTTTGCCTAGGTCTTGCTCTGTTGCCCAGGCTGGAGTGCAGTGGTGCAATCACAGCACACTGTCGCCTCGACCTCCTGGGCTCAAGCCATTCTCCTGCCTCAGCCTCCCCAGTAGCTGGGACTACAGGTGTGCACCGCTATGCCTGGCTAGTTTTTGTTTTTCGTTTTTTGGGGTTTTTTTGAGATGGAGTCTTGTTCCTGTTGCCCAGGCTGGAGTGTAGTAGTGCCATTTTGGCTCACTGCAACTTCCGCCTCCCGGGTTCAAGTGACTCTCCTGCCTCAGCCTCCCAAGTAGCTGGGACTACAGGCATGCACCACTACACCCGGCTAATTTTGTATTTTTAGTAGAGAAGAGGTTTCACCATGTCGGCCAGGCTGGTCTCGAACTCCTAACCTCAGGTAATCCACCCGCCTCGGCCTATCAAAGTTCTGGGATTATAGGTGTGGGATTATAATCTGGGATTATAAAAGTCGTTGGCTTTTATTTTTTTCCCTCAATTTTTTTTTTATAGAGATGGGGGGTCTCTCTATGTTGTCCAGGGTGGTCTCCAACCCCTGGCCTGAAGCAATCCTCCTACCTCCAGCCTCCCAAAGTGCTGGGATTACAGGCCTAAGCCACCGTACCTGGCCAGATATGTGTTTTCTAAGGTTCTTTGCCGTTTACTGGTCTCCATGCAATTTCAAAGTATGTTCTAATTTACGTAGTACTGCTAATTTTATGAAGTTTTTTTAAAAAACATGTACAATGGTAATGTGATGAGCAGACTATATTTTGGGAAATACCTGCTTTCTGCAGTTTAAGGCCACATTTTACAGTTTGCAATGTCCTTTAACATTTTTGCAGTTCTATGAGGATTACAACATACTTTATTCACAAAGCACTCTTTGATTTTTTCAAAATATTTCAATAATTGTAAGGCACTTTGTGGTTTCTTTAGTAGCATTGAAGGGGCAAAAGGGTAAAGGGCCTGTGTTTTGTCTTCCCTTCTGAGATTTTGTCATTGACAGTTGTGTTCTGTTTTTCCTCTCCAGGGCAAAATACTTCAAAGGGAAAAAGATCCATGGAGAAATTGACATTAAAGTAGAACAGGTAAGTTGGGACATTTGGACCTGGGGGTCAGTTGTCCATACTGCAAACTGAGTGGCCATTTTTGTGTGATGTAGGTGAATCACCAATTTTTTTCTCCTTCCCAGGCCGAATTCTCTGATCTCAACCTTGTGGCCCATGCCAATGGTGGATTCTCTGTGGACATGGAAGTTCTTCGGAACGGGGTGAAGGTCATGCGGTGAGTATAAAAAGGGTACCTTGGTGTTACGAGCGAGGCATAAGAACTCTCCCCCTTAGAGCTGGGGGAAAGTTCCTACCTCCCCACCCATCCTTCTGTGGGCAAGAACTTAGGCATGGAATGTGGGGAGCCAACTTTTCTTCAGAAAAAGAGCCAGGGACCCCAGCATGCCACAAGCCAGGCTTTAAAAAAAATATATATATATATAAAATATATAATATAAATATATTTATAAATTTTATATATAATATAAATATATATACACACACACACATATATATATGTATATATTTCAGACAGGGTCTTGCTCTGTCTCCCAGGCTGGAGTGCACTGACATAATCATGGCTCACTGCAGCTACAACTTCTCAGGCTCAAGTGATCTTCTCACCTCAGCCTCCTAAGTAGCTGAGACTACAGGTGCACACCACCATGCCTGGCTAATTTTTATGTTTTTTTGTAGAGATGGGGATCTCACTATGTTGCCTAGGTTTGTCTCAAACTTCTGGGCTCAAACAATCCACCTGCTTTGGCCTCTCAAAGTACTGGGATTATAGGCATGAGCCGTCACACTCAGCCTTCAATTATTAATTAAATAAACATTTGCTAGATATCTGCTACATGCCAGGTGCTGCTCTCAGGACTTCATATTCAACAAATATTTATTGTACACCTACTGTGTGCCAGGAGCTATTCTACATGCTGAAAGACCAAAAAAAAAAAAAAAAAAAAAGAACCCGGGCCTTATGAGACTTATATTCTACTGTGAGATACACACAATACACAAATAAATAAGAAAATGTAAAAGTGCTAGGAAAAAAATATAGCCGTGACCAGATGTGGTGGCTCACGCCTATAATCCCAGCACTTTGGGAGGCCAAGGTGGGTGGATCACTTGAGCCCAGGAGTTCAAGACTAGCCTGGCCAACATGGTGAAACCCGTTTCTACTAAAAATACAAAAATTAGCCAGGCGTGGTGGCAGGTGCCTGTAATCCCAGCTACTTGGGAGACTGAGGCAGGGAAATCGCTTGAACCTGAGAGGCAGAGGTTGCAGTGAGCCATGATTGCTCCAGCCTGGACAACAGAGCAACACTCCGTCTCAAAAAAATAAATTAATTAATTAAAAAGAAAGAAAGAAAAAAGAAAAAAATATTTAGCACTAAAGCAGATGTAGCAATTGTTGGATGATGGTGGGGTCTGCAGTTGGGATAGGGCGGCCTGGTTGCAGGAGAGACATTTGAGGAAAAACCTGATGGAAGTGAAGGAGTGATCCATGCAGGTATCTAGGGGCAAGTGCTTTAGACAGACAGAACATCCTTGGTAAAGGTCCTGAGGTTAGAATTTATTCCGGGCAGAACACTGAAGACAGCTTGCAGTCCGAGAGATGGTGACCAGGAAGTTGTCAGAGCTGTGTGGGTAAGCTGCAAGCTGACCTTGCTGAGAAGGGAACAGGTAGGAGAGGCTTAAAGGGGATCACCAGGTGGGCAGAGGGTAGAAAGGGTGCACTAGGCAGAGGGAACAGCTTGCACATGTGTGCAGAGGTGAGAAACCACTTTGCAATTTCTGGGAGCTATGGAGATGTAGACACTTGGTCTTTGTTTCGAGAGTGATAGGGAGCTACTGGGGGAACTCTCAACACTCCAACCCCTGCCACGCTAGGTCTCTGAAGCCGGATTTTGTGCTGATCCGCCAGCACGCCTTCAGCATGGCACGCAACGGAGACTACCGAAGTTTGGTCATTGGGCTGCAATATGCTGGAATCCCCAGTGTTAACTCCTTGCATTCTGTCTACAACTTCTGTGACAAGCCCTGGGTGGTAAGTAACAGGAAGGGTGCCACTGGCAGAGGGAATAGCTCATGCATGCATGTGGGAACTTGAAACCACTCTGCGATTTGGGGGAAGTGAGGGTGTTCAGAAGCTTACAGATTCCCGGTGAAGGACTCACTGACCCAGCTCTCCTGGTTCTCATAGTTTGCCCAGATGGTTCGACTGCATAAGAAACTGGGGACAGAAGAATTCCCTCTAATTGATCAGACCTTCTACCCCAATCACAAAGAAATGGTGAGTTTGGGGAAAACAGAGTGGGCAGGAAGGAAGAGTCATAACTACTGCAATAATATTAAATATTGGTATATTATCAGCTGTGTGATATCAAGAGTGTGGCTGCTGTGTGCACGTGGGGTCATGAAGTTGCTTTGCGATAGGGTCTACCATGAGTTTCCTTATGCTTACAAGGAAAACTAAATCATAATACATTCCAATATTTATCAGATCCTGTTACTCATGTTATCTATTTTTGCCAGTATTAAAAACCGATTTCTAATGTGAATTGATAGAATTAATGTAATGAATCAGAATATATTACATATAGAAATCAGGTCATTATTACTAACATTATCAAATATTCCTTCTGATAGAAATTTTACCTATATTCAAATTAGGATTGCCAATAACATTTATCAATAGTAATGTTATAAATTAAATTGTTGGCAAGGCACGGTGGCTTATGCCTGTAATTCCAGCACTTTGAGAGGCTAAGGTGAGCAGATCACGAGGTCAGGAATTCAAGACCAGCCTGGTTAACATAGTGAAACCCCGTCTCTACTAAAAATACAAAAATTAGCCAGGCATGATGGTGCATGCCTGTAGTCCCAACTACTCGGGAGGCTGAGGCAGGAGAATCACTTGAACCCAGGAGTTGGAGGTTGCAGTGAGCCGAGATCACACCACTGTACTCCAGTTTGGGCAACAGAGTGACACTTCGTCTCAATAAATAAATTAATTAATTAATAGAAATTGAACTTTTGGTTACTATTATAAAATATAATCACTGGCCTGGCACGGTGGCTTACGCCTGTAATCCCAACACTTTGGGAGGCCGAAGCGGGCGGATCGCCTGAGGTCGGGAGTTTGAGACCAGCCTGGCCAACATGGAGAAACCCTGTCTCTACTAAAAAAATACAAAATTAGCCGAGCGTGGTGGTGCATGCCTGTAATCCCAGCTACTTGGGAAGTTGAGGCAGGGGAATCGCTGGAACCCGGGAGGCAGAGGTTGTGGTGAGCCAATATCGCACCATTACACTCCAGCTTGGGCAACAAGAGCAAAACTCCATCTCAAAAAAAAAAAATATATATATATATATAAAATCACTAATATTACAAATTATCACTAATACTATAAATTATTTTTACTGTTGTAAATTACGAGTACCTATGTTATGAATTAAATTGTAGTTTCTAGTAGAAATTGGATAATCATTATTAATAGCATCAAAGATTATTGCTGTTATTACAAATGATTATTGCTATTACAAATTGTGCTCTAATATAAATTATAAGCACCTGTTTTGAATTATATATGCATGGCACACGCAATGGAGACTACCACAGTTGGGTCATTGGGCTACAATATGCCAGAATAAAATATGCTGAACATTTGAATAATAGAAATTGAATTATCGTTGCTAATATCATCAAATATAACAATTAATATTATAGTGCATTATGGTGTTACAAATTAAGTTTATTAGTATAAATGATTAGTACCTATGTTGTAAACTATTATAATTATTTTTTAAAAATGTAAACCCAAAGTGTGGGATCTCTTGAGCCCAGGAGTTTGAGACCAGCCTGAGCAATGTAGTGAGACCCCATTTCCACAAAAAAATTTAAAAATCAAGGGCCGGGCACGGTGGCTCAAGCCTGTAATCCCAGCACTTTGGGAGGCCGAGGCGGGCGGATCACGAGGTCAGGAGATCGAGACCATCCTGACTAACACGGTGAAACCCCGTCTCTACTAAAAAATACAAAAAATTAGCCAGGCGATGTGGCGGGCGCCTGTAGTCCCAGCTACTCGGGAGGCTGAGGCAGGAGAATGGCGTAAACCCGGGAGGTGGAGCTTGCAGTGAGCTGAGATCTGGCCACTGCACTCCAGCCTGGGCGGCAGAGCGAGACTCCGTCTCAAAAAAAAAAAAAAAAGTCAGCCTGGCGTGGTGATATGCACCTGTAGTCCCAGCTACTTGGGAGGCTGAGATGGGAAGATCGCTTGAGCCCTGGAGGTTGAGGCTGCAGTGAGCCATGAGAGCACCACTGCACCCCAGCCTGGGCAACAGAGTGAGACCCTGTCTCAAAACATTAAATAAATAAGTAAATAAAATTAAACCATTAGTACAAACAGTGTAAAAGTTGTTACAGATATAACTATTACCAGTGTTACAAATTAAGATTACTAATATAACCCATGAGTACCTATGTTTTGAATTATCTTGTAGTTCCTAATAGAAATCATTACTAATATGGTTAACATTCTAACTGCTATTATAAAAAAACACTAATATTAAAATTTTGATTACTAATATAAATTATGAGTACCACAGTTATGAATCAAATTTTAGTTACAAATAGAAATTAAATAATTGTTACTAATGCAATCAAATTGTATAAGTAATTTTGTCAATTTTTACCAATATTACAAATTATGTTTACTCATATAAATGATCACCAATTTTATGACTAAAATTACAATTAAATATCAATATTGACCCAACATTATCAACTTGATCAAATAAACATTGCTACTAATATTAGCAATTCTTACCAGTATTACAAATTATGGTTACTGATATACGTCAACAGTGTTATAAGTTAAGTTTACTTACAGATAAAGATTGAATCATTAGGGTTTTTTTTGTTTTTTTTTTTTGAGGAGGAGTCTCACTCCGTCGCCAGGCTGGAGTGCAGTGGCATGATCTCGGCTCACTGCAGCCTCCTCCTCCCAGGTTCAGGCGATTCTCCTGCCTCAGCCTCCCGAGTAGCCAGGACTACAGGTGTGCGCCACCATGCCCAGTTAATTTTTGTATTTTTAGTAGAAACGGGGTTTCACCATGTTGGCCAGCATGGTCTCGATCTGCCCGCCTCGGCCTCCCAAAGTGCTGGGATTACAGGCGTAAGCCACCATGCCCGACCTAAATCATTAGTTTTAAGGAAACCCAATTTGTTTATCATTATTATTATTCTATATTCTTTGAGAGACATTACAGCAGAATGTGATTAAGAGCATGGACTCTGTAGCCAGAATTTCTGTGTGAGAATCTTACCTCCACAACTTATTAGCTGCTTAACACAGGAAAAGTTACTTAAACACCCTGTACCTCAGTTTATTCATCTCCAAAATGTAGGTAATAATAGTTCCCACCTCATATAGTTGGTGTGAGAATGAAATTACTTAGTAAACGTAAGGTGTCTAGAACAATGCATCTGGCATATATTAACTGCTACCTAAGTGTTGACAAATTTCTCCTTCTATTCTTAGTTGGTTGAGTATTTTTGTCATGAAAGGATGTTGGACATTGTCAAATGCTTCTTCTGTGTTTATTGACATGATTGTGTGAATTTTGTCCTTTATTCTATGAATATGGTATATAGTACATTAATTGATTTTCATGCAAGTTGATAGGTTCATAAGTTTGTTTATGATGTGTCTAGGTGTAGACATTTGCATTCCTAGGCTAAATCTCACTTGGCCTTGGTATAAATCCTTTTTGTATGTTGTGGGATTCAGTTTGTGATTATTTTGTTAGGGATTATTGTATCTATATTCATAAGAGACATTGCTCTGTAGTTTTCTTATGATGTCTTTGTCTGGTTTTGGTATCAGGATAACACTGGCCTCATAGAATGAGTTGGACAGTGTTCCTTCTTCTTCTATTTTTGGGAAGATTTTGTAAAGATTGGCATTAATTTTTTTTTTTTTTTTTTTTTTTTTTTTTTTGAGACAGGGTCTTGCTGTGTTGCTCAGGCTGGTCTTGAACTCCTGGGCTCAAGCGATCCTCCTGCCTTGGCCTGCCAAAGTGCTAGGATTACAGGCGTGAACCACCATGCCTGGTCGGCATTAATTCTTTTTAAATGTTTAGTAGAATTCACCAGTGAAGACATCTAGTCCTAGGTATGTCTTTGTAGGAAGTTTTACTTATTCCTAAATCAATCTCTTCACTTGTTATGGGTCTATTCAGATTTTCCATTTCTTACCAAGTCAGTTTTTGTGTTTTGTGTCTTTCTAGGAATTTGTCCATTTCATCTAGATTTTCTAACTTATTGGCACATAGTTGTTCACAGTACTCTCTTATAATACTTTTTATTTCTGTAAGGTCAGTAGTATGTCCACTCTTTCATTTCTGATTTTAGTAATTAGAGTTTTCTGCCCTTTTTTTTTTTCTTAGTCTAAAGGTTTATCAATTTTATTGATGTTTTCAAAGAACCAAATTTTTGTTTTATTAGTTTCTCTATTTTTAAAATTCTTTATGTTATTTATTTCCACTATTATTTTATTATTTTTTTCCTTGTGCTTGCTTTGGACTTAGTTTGCTCTTTTCTTTCTAATTTCCTAGAAAAAAAAAATGGAAGATTAGGTTATTGATTTTGATACCTTTCTTCTTTTTAGATATAGGCAGTTAAAACTATGAATTCTCCTTTAAGCACCACTTTAACTGCATCCCTTACATTTTGATATGTTGTGTGTTCATTTTCATTCATCTCAAAGTATGTTCTAATTTCCCTTGTGATTTTTTCTTTGACCTATTGGTTATTTAGGAGTGTGTTACTTTCCACATATTTGTAAATTTTTCTAATTTTTTCTGTTTTTGATGTCTAGTTTCATTCTGTTGTGGTCAAAGAACATATTTTGTATAATTTCAGTCCTTTTCAATTTGCTGAGATTTGTTTTCTGACTTAACATATAGTCTGTCCTGAAGAATGTTCCATGTGCACTGAAGAAGAATGTGTATTCTGCCATTGTAGGGTGAAATGTTCTATAGATGTCTATGAGGTCTAATTGGTTTATAGCATTTTTCAAATCTTCCTTATTGGCTGGGCACAGTAGCTCACGCCTGTAATTCAGCACCTTGGGAGTCTGAGGCGGGTGGATTGCTTGAGTGCAAGAGTTCAAGACCATCCTGGGCTACATGGCAAAACCCCATCTCTGCAAAAAATACACACGCACACACAAAAAGCCACATGGTGGCACACGCCTGTAGTCCCAGCTACTCAGGAGGCTGAGGTGGGAG